ATTTTTGGTGTGCCACAGAATTTTAGCAATTAGTTTATGTGTGCCATGAGATGAAAAAGTTTAAAATCGCTGGATTAGAGAGTGGTGGAGTGACGCGTTGCAAATGGTGCTTCTGGGAGGTTAGATGTAATTGGAATGAAATCTACCATTTGGGGGGAGCTGAGACAATGGATATCCTCAGTCTAGTCTAAAAGGGATAACTTGAATAAGCTCGTATCAGAAAGAAAAAAAAAGGTTGATCTCTGGAACACTGTGTAATCTTAACTTTTTTCTTTAAAAAATATTTTTATTGATATTAGAGAGGAAGGAAGAGGGAGAGATAGAAACATCAATGATGACAGAGAATCATGGATCAGTTGCCTTCTGCACACCCTCTACTGGGGATCGAGCCCGCAACCCGGGCAGGTGCCCTGACGGGATTTAACTGTCACCTCCTGGTTCATAGGTTGATGCTCAACCACTGAGCCACACCAGTCGGGCTAATCTTGACTTTTTTCAAACCCAAGTCTGATTGTGTCATTTTCCTTGCTTAAAGCAACCCAGTAGTTTATCCTCACCTTAGAGGAGAAGCCATGATCTAACTCCTACCTGCTTCCCTGGCCTGTCTCCTGCTACTTCTACCTCCTTTACAATCTGTAGGCATATGAACCTGGAATAGCAGACTCATTCTCATCTCAAGGATGTACCCTTGCTGTTTCCTCTGCCAGGGGTTACTCTTTCTCCATATTTCTGTGATTCTTGCTCATTTAAACCCTAGCTTAAAGATACCTCCTCACACAGGCCTTTCCTGTGTCCCATGCACCCAGCCTCTGTGATTACTTTGTATCTGGTAACTGCTTCCAACAGAATCTGTCACCACTGTCTGAAATGACTTTGCTTAGTTATCCAATTATTAGCTGTCGTTCCCTAATAGAATTCTGTTAGCCGTGGCATCCCTGACATCAGGGCCTGTACCTTACATCATAGATGCTCTGTTATGTTCTGAGTATTAGAACATTAGTCCCCAATATGCTGCCCAGAAAATGCGTGAAACTTGGAAATTGGCTTCTAGATTTTATGTCATGTTGCCCTGTGATGGAGTGAAGAAATGAAAATCTACTGCTCCTCCTTGTTTTTGCCTCTTGGGGGGGGAGGGGGGAGCGTGCCCACGCGTGCGCACGCACATACACACACACACACTATGTGGTTGATTTCAGTCAGCCAGTATTTATTGCATGACTGCCATTTATGGCTTAAGATGAACATTTGGGGGGAAGTTACTCTTTTTGTGAATGACTAGTTTCTCTGAGTCTATTAAAACATTAATTTAAATATCAGTTCTCCAACTGTGGTATAATTGAGCATTTTGGTTTTTTACCCTACAAATAGAAAGCTGCTTTCAATTTTATTGGTAAATGTATATGCTTTACATTGGGGGGGAAAGTAAATTGAATTTTAAAATGAGGTCTTTCCCAGTTACTGTCATGGTTTTGAATTATCAAAGTGTTAACTTCTCTTTGTGTAGCAAATAATTACAGTATTCATTTAGAAATAGCCCGCAGGCAAAGTCATGAGTCTGAAATTTTACTTTATTTTTCCTTAGTATATTCAGGCGATGTGTTCTCATCTGGATCATCCCAGACCTCCAGTGGATTATGTCATCTTAGGGGAGTCCTTAAAGTGGACACTCTTTTGAGTACAGTTGCTCTCGAAGTGTTCCTCGGACCCATAGCATCAGCATCACCTGGGAACTGGCTAGGAATGCTAATCCCCAGGCCCCCTCTACACCCACCAAGTCACCATCTGAGCGGGCGGGGTCCCGCACACCCTCCAAATGATTCCGCTGCACACTAAAGTTTGAGAAACGTGGCTTAGTAAATGTTAAAAGTTTAAGGTAGCATGACCCTACAGATTAGCCAGGTGGCATTAATTATTAGCCCTGTAAGCCCACCTCCTTTTTGGTTATGGAATTTGATTGGCTCACTAAGGCTAGGCTGTTATTTGATAGATTGATTACCACATATTGACTTTGTGTTGTTTGTATTTCTCTGAACCTGTCACTGTATTGATTTGCCAGGATGCTTAATAGGGGCAGGCTGTGATTTATGTATTTATGTATTTATTTTTTTGCACCCATGGCTTTCTGAGTCATGGGCCACTGGGTCCTCATGCCTTTCTGGACAGTTTCTCCAGGTACTAGGCATGCCACTCACATGCTTCTAAGGAGGGAGGTGTCACTGTTGGATCACATGGGACCTTCAGGAGCATTTAGTTCAGCCTAGATCGGTTTGCAGGTAGGAAATGAGCCTGCGTGAGGTTGTGCTTTGCCTGTAGTAAGTAGCACAGCTAGTGAGTGGTAGAGGCAGGATTTCAGTCTCCTGACCCCCTCCCTGCATCAGGATCCCTGCAGGGGGAGGACAAAGTTGCAGTTTGCTCTCTGCCTGGGGGACATTTCTTTCCTACTGTGAGGTTTTCTTCTTTTATTTAAAGAAAAAAAAACCAAATAGTAAAAAGTCAGGAAGTTCTCATTGAAACTAATAAAAGTGTCCAAAGTGAATGAAAAAAAAAACCAGTTTGAGAACTTTGGTATGGAGGAAATAACCTGACATTAACTGTTTTAATTATAGTTGTTGCATTGGGCTTATCAGTGTGGGAAGAGAGAGCATTCGAGCCCTACAGGGAAGTGGGATATAGACAACAAGATGACCCTTTTCCTGAATCTGCCTGTTCAGGCTGCTGCCTAGGGACGGCTTGTGTGATCCCAGCAGTGGTCATGGAGAGACTCAGTAAGAGATGTAGGTCCCAGGCCCAGCACTGCCAACTAGTGGTGTGATGCCCTGTGAGGAGGTCACTGTACCTTCTCGGCCTTCACTTTCTAGTAAATGGGTATAATAATGCGTATCCTGCCCGTCCCGAGAAGGAATATGCCAGATAGTGGGAAGTAGTGGATCACTGCAGTGAAGAGCACAAACTCTCGTGGGACCCAGAGTTTCCAGGTTCAAATTCTGGGTCTTAAATTAACCGGTGTGATGATAGGCAGGTTACTTATCCTTTCTATGAAATGAAATTAACTACTTCATACTGTTACTGGCATTAGAATTCTTGGGTTCCCCAAGATAGGAATTGAGGGGAAACCCCAGAAAAATTTCCAGACAGATTTTATTAAGCTTATGCTGGAGCACAAGGGAGTCAGCACAGAGAAAGGAAGGCCCTCTGAAGTGGCTCAGGGTCTGGCTCTGCATGGCTGCTTTTACAAAGTGGGCTTGCGCAAAAAGGCCGGCTTGCGCAAAGAGGCGGCCTTGTAAGGGGTTTGGGGAGTGGAATTTTTCATGTCAGGGCAGGGTTACTTTCTCCTCCTGTTGGGTTGCTGGGCAACTGTTTCTGTACCTGCACTATGGGGCAAGATGGTGGTGTTACTCATTGCTGCTGCCCCAGGAAGGTCGTGTAGCGGCCAGACCTTGATCAGCTTCGCATGTGGGTCAGTAGATTAAGCAGGCATTCAGAAGGGCGATAAAAATCAGCTACCTCTTGGAGGGGTGGTGACGTCCTTGGGTTCCTTCCAGCCACCTGGTCTCATCTTGGCTTCCTAGCCACCTGGTATTTTCTATTCCAGGGCCCAAGTCCCTATACTGTCGCAATAGGCCTGTAGGGAAGATTGAATTTGTCTCTATAAGGTGCTTAGGACAATGCCTGCTGTTTAGTAAGCACTATGTGTTAGCTGCTATTGTTATTATTGTTTTTAAGTATTATTTTAAGAGATGAGATTTCTGTAAACATGTTCTCAAATAGTTCCATCACTTGATAAGAGAACTGGGCAAATACAGGGATCTTCTGCAGGAACCGTTAATGGAGGAGTTTTTCTAACATCAGCCTGTGCCTGGGCCTTGCTGGGAAAAGAAGTGGTTTCGATGCCCAGGAAGGGCAGGCCTAGAGCCTCTGATATTGCAGTTTAGTCAAAGAGTGGTGTGGCTAGAAACTCAAACTGGAGACTTCTCAGTTTTGTTTTCAGGTATTTATACATGAGCCATCCCAGGAGATGGAAATCTTAATAATCTTCCAGAAAAAAAGTTCATGAACTTTGATTTTTGACTAGGTTTCTTTCTGTCTTGCCTTTTCAGTTATTAGAATTATAATATTTTGTTGATGAAAATTCCAACTCTGAAAGCTAAATAATCAAGGGATTGTCATGATGTAGCAAGTGAGTGACAGACTTTGGATAGCTTTCCTCCTCTTTTGGCTTAAATCAGGAAACATTCTACTTTCACTGTTTGTTTCTGAGTAGCCTGTTTTGGGGAGGGACTAGGGTGGTGAAGTGCCTTTTTGTTGCCTCGTAAAGGGACCGGGGTTCGAGAATTTGAGTTTTATCTGTATGTATAAATGAACTTTTTCATTTTCCTTACTTTGATCCCCTTCGTCTTCCTCTACAGTCTTTACTCATGATCTGTTCCCCTAAAAGTTAGAGATTATGTTTTATATATTTCTCTATGTATTCCATTTCTCCTTTTCCCCCTGGATCTTAACATAATGCCTGTTATCATACTATGCTCTCAGCTACAGTTTGTTGAATGAATATTGTTGATGTGTCTCATTACTTCTTCAAGCGACCTTTTCTGAAGTCTCACCTGAAGGCTTAAGTAGTTAATATAGTGGTGACCTAGTATCTACCCTGGTCGTCCTAAATACATATTGATGAATCTTTCATTACTCACCTGAAGTGTCCAAATCCCAAGATGCTCATGGCCTGTCATGAGTATTATAGTTTGGATTGCCCTGGTATCATTGGGAGATACGAATCTAGGGAAATCCAGGCACAGATAATTAAGAGCATCATTCAAGACCACAAAACAGTTATTGTGGGAAGAGACACTGACCCCAGAAGCCAAAAGAAAAAAACAACAACTGATTAACACTCTAAAAGGAAACCCAGATCAGGCTGGATATGGGAACGAATGTTGACTTAGATTGGATAACGTTTCTTTGATGTCTGAGGGTTATGATTAGTGACTTATTGCTAATGTGTGTTTGTTTTTATTTTTAGCTTTGCAATGTCGGGACGGCATTGAGCTCTGTGTTAATGATGGAGTATGTGTTACCTACCACAATGGCACAGGATACTGCAAGTAAGTTTTTCTCTGTGCTTTTTCTTCTTCTTATATTTTATTTTATCTCATTAGGACACTGGGCAATATTCAGTTCTATTCTATTTTTATTATTTCTGTGAAGTAATTACGGGTTCTCTAATTTTCCTGATGTAGTTTCAGTGTGGATGAGGATGAAAGGATGTGGGTGCCAGGTAGACAGCTAATAAGAACTCCTTATTGCCTTCTTGTTATCTTTTTCATTAAGAAAGAGACTTTCAGTGAGTATTTTGAATGACAACACTAGTTTTTAGTTAACTAGGCTAGTTAATATACTAGTGCATTCTCTTACATGTTTCAGTTTAAGGCTCACCCTTAGAATCTCTCCTAAACATGTTAGCTATGATCTTGTTTTTAGATCAAACTAAGTAGATATTAACTTTTTAATTCTGCCTAATATTCATGAATATTATAGCCACATGACACTCTTTTTCTAGTGTAAAAATTCTGAAAGAGACTGCAGGAGGAAGGTGTACCCATACTTGTAGGGATGGGGTAGGAGCAGGGGCTGTGGGTAAATGCCATTATATGGGTTTGAGAGAATGGGGGTGAGGAACAGGACTAGGGAGCATAGGCTAGTTCTAAGAGTGTTATTTTTCTTTTTCTCCAGCCATCTAGTTAGATCATCTCACAAATAGCTTTTCTAGGTTTCCTCTGATCTTTTTTGCTTTCTACCTCAATTGAAAGTTTTTGATAGGAGCATTTATATCATGGAAAATAAGACTTGATAATAAGAAATTTATCTTCTTTAATACTTTTATAATATATATTACATGTATGTTTTGTATAAGTGTTTACTTAATAAACATTGTAAAGGAGTTTATCCAACACATTTTTGTTTCTTCTCTGGATATTTAATCAAATACTATAAAGATAATAATGACATTTGTTCCCAGTAAGTCCATTCTCACCAAGATCTAGGTTCTTTAATGTCATAAAATAAGAATTTTCCCAAGTCAGAAGGAATTTTCTTCACTGAAGTAAAAATATTTTAAGCTTTGATGGCAGTGAGTCTTAACAATAGGTTGTTTGGATTGGAATAAAGATAACATTGGAAATGAAATTTTTTATGTAACGGATTATGTGCTGTTTACTTAGTTTTTCTAGCTGGAAAAAAAAACCCACCTCAAAACATGTGATACATTTTCCTCTTAAGAACAGAAGCACAACTGGAAATAAAAAGGGAAGGAATTTAGTACCTTAGAATCAGCCACTGAAATCTTGTTTAGTCCCTTTTTGGCATCTGGTGTCTTAGTTACTTGCGTTATTCTATTATTCAGCTCTTTGTGATAGTTAACCCATTACATTTTGATCATTTATTGATATATTGGTTTCTCTTACTAGGTTGTGAGGTTCTGGTCTTAGCCATCTTTGTATAGTTATAATGCCTGGCATATAGCTAGTGCTTAGCAGTATGTTTTTTGAACCAAAAAGTGCTCAGTAGATATCATCGTTCACATTTTTAAAAATCCATTTGTCTTCAGAAGAAACTGGTCCTCTCTAAGAATTTCATTTGCTTCACATAGCATCTAGGATGGTAAGTAGTTTCGTTTACTTCCAATTTATTTGGCGATATTTCACCTTATAAATAAGGTCTAAAGTTGGCCTACATATTTGTGGCCTGACATATGGAGAGATACTTTCTAGAGGAGACCAATTTCGGAGCACTTACCAGGAAAGGACACTAGGATCGCTTTGGGGAGCAAACAGATTTGTGGGCTGCTAGTCTCCAACTCTCCAACCAAGGTGAGAGACCGTTGCCCCCAGTTTATGGAAGAAGCACTGCTGGGCAACAGGGAACTGGCTTTGCGAATGACGTAAACGGAGCAGCCTGAGTTCTGTCCCTGGATACGTACTCATTGTTGATGGGGTGGATTGCTTATGGATATAGCTCTGGGTGGGTCCCTCAGGTGTCCTCCAACCCTGTTGTAAGAGAAACAAGTTTTTTGAGAAAGGTTCAGTAAGAAAAAAAAAATGGGCAAGGCCATCCTTTTTGGAGACCAATATGAACAACTAAACTTGGGGGGAAACGAGTGTTTCTCTACCTGAGTAAAATAAATTAGCATCTTCAGGAGTGACCGTGTCAGCATAAGTGGTCGCAAGAAATGCAAGGACAGTATCAGGGAGGCAAGTCGGTCCCAGGCCATAGAATCACCATAGAATGTTAAGCAAAAATAACATCTACTTACAGACCTTTCAGTGTATCTTCATCAATGTTGTTTTTCCCTGGGGAAAGAAGGTAGGTAATCCAGCTTGTTCAGTAAATATTATTTTCACAAAATGGTAAATGAATATTAGAACACTTAGAAGGTTTATAAGAATTACATCAGACATGCAGGGCATATGATTATCTTTTATTTATGAGATTGCTTAGTGGATTAAGAAAAGAAAGTTAAAGCCAAATTCCTTTGGGTGGGTGGAGTGGAAATTAATGGAAAACGTTTTAAAGTAGAAGGTATCTGACTATCTGTATAAAGAGCCTAATGTTACTGATTCAGCTAAAATATAATGATTGTTTACAGAAATTATAGAAATCCTTGGTAAGATCACATTGACGGATGAGGATAAGTACTTGCAAAGGTTCGTTTTGTACACAGCTCAACTTTGTTGTTTTTTTCTTTTCACTGTTAGGAGCCTAAGTAGTCAGCCAGTCTGTGATTATATTGGGATGCCAGGCAAGGAGAGCCTGTGTAATCTTGCATAAAACTCAGTTATTGCTCCTAGATAGTTGTTGTCAGATCTCAATAAAGCCCTCTCACTACAGAGAGATAAGACATTTCATTCTCTCCCTTGTCCTACTGGGAGGTGTAAATATATAATTAAGTTTAGCTGTCATTAATCACTTTCAAGTTGCTTGTCTCAGACTTTCCGATATAAACCATCCCAAATCCCAATTTGATTAAAAATCATGGGCAACTCAAGTTCACTAGAATGTTGGGGGTAGGCGAGGTTACTATTTGTAAAATTCACAGAGTGTGCATTTTTAAGACATGTTTATCATCATTATTTAAAGTCCTTGTCTGTCACTTCTTAACATCTGGTTTGTCTTTGGGTGTGTTTCTCTCAACATCGCTTTCTCTTGACTGTGGGTATAATTTTTCTGTGCTTCATACTTACTGGACATAATGGGTAGTGCATCTTCAAGTTTATCTTCCACTAAAGAACACTGAGTTTTGGTCTAGCAGGCAGCTGCCTTATGGGAAGATCACCGCGATCCTGTGAAGGGCTTGGTTTTAGGCTTTGCTCTGGTGGGTCTGTTAGGCCCTTAGTCTGATGGTTTAAGCCTTAGTCCTGGGATATGGGCCATACCAAAGTATGACCCCTAAGGGGATTTGGTGGAAACTAGCGGTGTTTCCCCAGTCCCGGGTGTTTCCTAAGCACCTCTAATTTGGTAGGACTTGAATTCAAACCTCCCACTTCCCAGAACCGTGCTCAGGTTTTCAGCCTTCCAACTCTTGCATTCTCTTGGGCTCCTACCTATCATCTTGCTCATGCCTAGTCAGGAATCACGGATTCAAATGGAGTTGTTGGCACTCAGGACTTCTCTGTCTGTGGTGCTGGCTCCTCAAGTTGCAGCTGCTCTGACGGGTCCAGACACCTTTGACTGCTCGGCCAGCGAGACTTCCTTTTTCTGCTCGCACTCTCTCACTCTTCTGCTAAATGGACTGGGGAATGCCTTTAGGGAAAAGGAAGTTTGCTCTTCTTTTTGTGAGCCTCATATCCCTTCCAGTTTTTGTCTGCTTTCGATTACTCTCTGGTACCTTTAATATTCTGTCCAGAGTTCATAATTATTGAAAGCAGGAGAGTTGGTCTGATATTATTTAAAGTCCTTGTCTGCCATTAGTTTTAATGATAAAAATTATAGTTATAAAGTAGTCTTTCAAAATTTTCTACAGCATAGTGGTTGATAAACAATGGAAAGTCACCATGAGTTACATAGGATCCTGTGGGTCGGTGATTGCATTTGAGAATCTCTACTTTTTGGTAAAGTATCTAATTGAAAACTACATTTTAAAGTGAATCATGATAGCCCTGGCTCAGCTGGTTGGAGCGTTGTCCCATGTACCAGAGGGTGATGGGTTTGAATCTCAGTCAGGGCACAGATCCAGGTTGTAGGTTCGATCCCTGCTAGGATGCATATAGGAGACAACCTATCGATGTCGCTCTCTCACATTGGTGTTTTTCTCTCTGTGCCTCTCCCTTCCTCTCTATCTAGAATCAATTAAAAACATATCCTTGGGTGAGGATAAAAAAAATAATAATAAAAAAGTAAATCATTATAAATATGTTATAGAATACAACTTTGTGTCACATTTTACCTAAAATTTGTCAACTAGCTGTAAGGTACATTAAATATTAATGACTAATGATTTTCCTTGCTGGCCACTTTTTCATATTTTTTTATCTTTACCATAAAATGAAGAATGCTGCCTTTTGGCTTACTAAATACCTTTCACAGAGTAATCTTTGTGTGTGTGTGGTTTTTTTTGAATGTGATGCTTAAGGAGTTATTAATTCAGGAATTTTTCAGCACATGCTATTTATATATACCATATGTAGCAATGTAACCGACAACTGTGACTGTGGTAGTAATTTATTGATACTGTTATCACATTATTTCACTCTTCTTTGGGAAGCCATGTAATAATCATCAGTGTGTTAACCTGGACTTCTTAAAGAGGCTCAGAATGAGTGTTGCTGGAGTCTCATCAAGTCACCTATGAAGTGATGGACTGTCCTGTGGAGCCACCAGTGGAAGGGGCTAGGGCCAAGGCTAGGTGAGCGGGTGCCAAAAACTAAGTAATCAAGATTAAATAATGTTTTTATGGAGTAGTTCAAAAATCAAAATTAATGCAAAAAACTATGATAAAAGATTTCCAAATTTTAAATAAAGAATAGATCAGTATTGCTGATTTTTCTCTATTGCCTCATACTCGGTGTGGTTCGGCCTGCACTGGGACTGGATTGAGGCATCTGGAAGA